TGGACGGAGCGCTCCTGTCATTCTCAAGGCTGCATTGGGACTTGAGTTTTAAAGTACTGATGCTAAATTGACTGGTACTTGTTAAATTGAATGAATGAATGTCATTGCTATACTGAATGTATTGAATAAATGTACCTGACAAGGATGTTATAATAGTACACAATGCACTTTAAAGCATAATAGTTATAAACGGTACACGTTAATTTACAAAAGGTTCTTGCGGTGTATATTTATTCATTACTTGACCCACCTGGAGGCCGGTAATCCGATGGGGTTTGAGGCTGGGGCCTTGGGGGGAGACCCCTTAGTGGACCGAGCTCCCCCTGCTGTGCCTGATGGAGGGGGGGGGGACTCGGTGTCGGGAAGAAGCTCTCTCCGTCCCTTACGGTCTCCCCTTCTGCCAGGAGCAGGCATTGGGCCCACCATTCAGATTGGGGAAGAGACGGTGATCACGGTGGATGCCAAGGCCGCCGGGAAGGGGAAGGTGACCTGCACGGTGTGCACACCCGACGGCACGGAGGTGGACGTGGACGTGGTGGAGAACGAGGACGGCACCTTCGACATCTTCTACACAGCCCCCCAGCCAGGCAAATACGTCATCTGCGTGCGCTTCGGGGGAGAGCATATCCCGAACAGTCCTTTCCAGGTCACGGTGAGTCTTGGCGTGGCTTGCGGCCGTGGATCTGTTCAGTAGGGGAGAGTCGGGGGCGAAACTGTGGGCGGAGCTGTGGCTCAAGGGCCTATCCATCGTCAGTGTGGGCAAGTGAGACGGAAGTTGGGTGGTGGGGTCAAAACCCGGGACGTGGTTGTGCCAAAAATCCCACATGGCTTTGGACTGGAATATTTAAAGGGCCGCCTTCTCCCATATGCTCCTGGCCGGGAATTAAGCTCTCAGAGAGGGGCCTCCCTGACTGCCTCGTCAATCAAAGAAGCTCGTTTGGTGGGTATGCAAAACCAGGGCCTTTTCAGTGGCAGCCCCACAGTTACGGAATAACCTCCCCGGGGAGGCGCACCTGTCCCCTCTCACTTTCGATCTCTAGGAGGCAGCTGAAGGCAGGTTTTATTTAGGTCTGCATTTTCGTAAAGAGGAGCCGCAGTGGCTCAAGAGGTTAAGACACTGAGCTGCAGGCCGGAAGGTCAGTAGTTCAGCAGTTCGAGACCCGAGTGCCGCATGACGGAGTGAGCTCCCGTCTCTGGCCCCAGCTCCTGCCAACCTAGCAGTTCGAAAGCAAGAAATTGCAAGTAGATAAACAGGGACCGCTTCGGTGGGAAGGTAACAGTGTTCCGTGCGCCTCGGCGTCTAGTCACGCCAGCCACATGACCACAGAAACGTCTTCGGGCAGTGCCAGCTCTTTGGCTTGGAAACGGAGATGAGCGCCGCATCCCTAGAGTCGGATTCGACTGGCTTTCGAGCAAGGGAAACCTTTACCTTTTCCTTTCATAAAGGAGTCCTCAATTTTGATTTTAAATTTTGGTTCTATGCATTCAGGTTTTGTGTGTTTTCTCTATATTGTAAGTGGCCTTGAGCTCCGTAAGGAAGAAAGGTGGCCGATGCATTTTAAAAATAAAATAAATAAATAAATACGCACCTGGCAGAGGGGGCGCTAGGCCTCTAAAGCACAAGTCAGCTCAGATCTGCTAACCAGCTGCTGGATCAGGTGGTAAAACGGGGCAGGCTGTACGATACTTTTGCCCCAGAGAGAAGCGGAAGTGATCTTTAGAACAGATCCAGGGGAGCTTAGAACTTTAGCTTTGCCTGACGTCATTCTCTCTAGGTACTGTGCAAGCTCTTCTAAGTGCAAAGTCAGGGTTTGTTTTGCAGCACATGGTGGCACATAACCATTAATTATTATTAGAGACTTCTCGAATTATTATTAGAGCCAGTTTGGTGTACTGGTTCAGTGCGCAGACTCTAATCTGGGAGAACCGGGTTTGATTCCCCACTCCTCCACTTGCACCTGGCTGGAAGACCTTGGGCAAGCCGTAGTTCTGATAAGAGCTGTTCTTGAAAAAGAACCATTTCTTTCAAGTGCTCTCTCAGCCCCGTCTATCTCACAGGGTGTCTGTTGTGGGGAGGGGAAGGGAAAGGAGTTTGTAAGCCGTTCTGAGACACCTTTGGGGAGTGAAAGGCGGGGTATAAATCCAATCTCTTCTTCTTCTTCCTTGAGCATTTCAGTAAACAGGCCTGTGTCAAATGTCCATAATCCTGCAAGGGGATCATCTCCAGTTTGGACTTACACGGCCATAACAGTGAGAGACAATGCTCCCTCTAAGCTGTGGAGTCTTGTGAGAAAAATTCTACTTTGTGAGCTACTGGCATTCAAGTTGTGAGCAAGCAGTTTGGCTCCTGCATAAATTAATTTGTTCTGGAGCTCTCCTTCTTGAGCGAAGACCAAAATCTGCACGCTGGAGGCTAAAAAAAACTGTGAGCTAGCTCACACTGACTCACCTTAGAGGGAACACTGGTGAGAGACCTGCTTGGTATCGACCAAAGCGTTTGGATTTGAAGGCTAACAGGGAAAGCGACTTATAATCCTCTAAGAAGATCTCAGAGTGAGCCCAGGTTTCCTGAAGGAGAATGATATCAAACTTCCTGGGGAAGCTACCTTATCATTCTTCTGTTGGCCATTTTGTAAGTTCTAATCCTTACAGCGACTTATAATCCTCTAAGAAGATCTCAGAGTGAGCCCAGGTTTCCTGAAGGAGAATGATATCAAACTTCCTGGGGAAACTACCTTACCATTCTTCTGTTGGCCATTTTGGGTACGGAAAGGTATCTGGCCCCTTGGACCTCCAGACTGTGCCTTGGATTGTTTATTTTCTTAAGCCGCCTCCGGCAGCTTCCCTGGAGATGCAGCTTTAAAATGTTCTAAAGACAGGAGTCATTTCCTGCGGGAGCGCACAGGAACGGAGCTCCGGCACTAAGGGGGTGGGCACATGCAACAAGCCCCGCCCCCTGCTCCCAGCAGCCCTCAGTCGGGCCACAAGGAGCAAGAAGCAGCCAGGTAAATTGCAGAGCGCCCCCCACCGGCCCGCCTTCAGGTACAAGCTCTCCCTCCTCTGTGAGGGCAGATCTGCACGTCCCCACCCCCAAATAGCTAGCAATCCAAAATAGTCCAGTCTGGACCAATATTCCCTTTAACCTGTGGAGTCTTGTGAGCAAAAATTCAACTTTGTGAACTACTGGCATTCAAATTGTGAGCAAGTGATTTGGCTACTTCATAAATCAGTTTGTTCTGGAGCCACCCTTCCTGAGCTAAGACAAAAAATGTGTGAGCCGGAGGCTAAGAAACTATGAGCTAGCTCACCCTAACTCAGCTTAGAGGGAACACAGGGCCAGTGGAGCCTGAGTGGTGGGTGTTGCCTTCTGTCACACTTCCAGTGATGTCAAGGGGTGTGGCATATGCAAATAAGTTATGCTAATGAGCTGCACCTCTTTTTCTACGAAATGACCCCTGTCTAAAGAGTACAGAATTCTTTATTTATGGGAGACCTTGCCGCCTGGGAGTCTGTAGTACAACCCCTGCCTTTCTTTTCCCCAGTTTGAAAGTGAGAGGGAATTTGGCCTGAGAAGGGAGAGGTGGCGTGGATGCCTTCTCAGAGCGCCAAAGCCCCAAATTTTGGCAGCAGGGGGGTTCTGGTCAGGCTGAACGCCACATGTTCTCAAAAGTGCTGTTGGAAGCGATTCTGCTTCGACGGGCCAGTCCCGAAGCGTGGATTTTTTTTGGCACCACGGGGGGGAAGAGGAGTCCGTGCCAGGCCAGGCGGTTCCATGGCGGTCTTCCAGGAGGCCTGCTCTCGACTCCTTGCCAGGCCTTTCCCAAAAGCGTCTTAAAACTGAGTGTCGGCATTGAGACGCTTCAGTCGAGCGTGGTGCCTGTGCGTTAAGCAGCCCTGCAGACAGACAGAATGCTTGCAGTCCAACCTCTTGGGGGGCCAGAATGTCGCTCGCTTCCCGTTTTCAACTCGCTACCCCCTGCCCCGAATCACGGGCTGACATCTGAAAGACTGAGAATTCATTTCAGGAAAATCCATCTCCTGGCAGGTTTTGCATTCCCACTGCTCCCAGCCCCTTCCTCCCATTGTTCTGATCCGCCGCGCATTCCTGTTTGGAGGGTGCTTATTTGAAAACGCTCGTAACCAGAGTGAGTGGGAGGGGCGCCCCCCTCCAGGCCGAGCCACCAGTGTGGGCGCGTTGTGCAGGCGTGATCGTTTGGCTCGTACCACTTCAGAATGTAGGCGGGGGGAGGGGGGAGACTCTATTTTTTCTCCCTTCCTACATAAAATCCCCATATATAGTCAGCAAAGCTACATCAGAGATTTGGCATAGCTCTTGCCCGGGGAACACCCCGGGTGGGGGAGAAATGTTTTTGGAAATGTGAACCGTACTGCAGCGATGGCAGTTCGGGGGGTCCTCGCCACATAGGAATCGATTTGCCTCCGCAATTCAGATTTTGAACTTAAGAACATAAGAGAGGCCAATGTTGGATCAGGCCAATGGCCCATCCAGTCCAACACTCTGTGTCACACAGTGGCCAGAAATACCCGGTGCCATCGGGGCGAGTTCCTATCTATACCTTGTGGCTAATAGCCACTGATGGACCTCTGCTCCATATGTTCATCCAATTCCCTCTTAGAAGAACATAAGAGAAGCCAATGTTGGATCAGGCCAATGGCCCATCCAGTCCAACACTCTGTGTCACACAGTGGCCAAAAATACCAGGTGCCCTCAGGAAGTCCACCAGTGGG